TTAATTTTCAAACCTATGTCTTTGCATTTTGCCGAAGCTTAGGAACAATGTCTTAATTGGGTGCCTTCCTCTTGTGTACCTGTTCTTGACGACTGATCGTCTTCTATACGATTTGCCACAATGCCGGCAAATAAACACATCAGAACTTTTCTTGTAAATATATTGAATTATGTAAAGTATTTAACGATAATATAAGCGCAATATTAAAATTTAAAATATACATTCCATAGATTTACGTTAAAATACTTATCATTTAAATGAACACTTTTTTTCTGCGTCTATAATATAAAAAAATAACGAACTGTTTTCATTTCCAAAATAATTGACACAATGGTATGACATTTTATGTATGTAATTGAAACATATATTTTTCTGGTGTCATAAGATTGAATTTCTATGTAATGTACATGTTTGCATTTTTATTTTTAGGTATTGTTAATTCTTTAAGCTGATGTATACAGTGTTATCAAAACAGTATACTGTTAAGATGAGAATGTATAACAAGCAAACCGAATTCATTCAATATGATACTTCTTACTTTTCACTTTCAAATATTATATTTGTATGGCTTCAAGGACAGGAATCGAGAAATAAGTATAATTAAATGAAAAATTCGACGAAATAGGACAAGCAATAAAATCTTTTAGCATTTTAGTCATTAAATTCAACTTCGTTATGCAACTTAACAAAGAATGACAATTGTTCATGACGGGCAAACTTACAATTGTGTACAAGATGTCATTGCAAATTTTGCTCAAAATGCGTTTCTATTACTGAAAACAACGCATTTTAGTACCTGTTCCCCATTGTACACATCACCCAAAACAACTTTTTCGACTTTCAGGCCTAAACAGAGAGAGCTACAAAGTAACCAATAACAGATTAGTACATGGTTTTTACACAGGAGTTCCGTGCGGCCTAGTTTGCATACAAATTGAACGTTTTAAATGAATGCTGCTTACCTCAATTTTACTACTTTTACCGAGCGTGTACGATTTTGGTCACATGATCATCCGCAGTGTTCTTACCTTCATCCACAATTTATACTTTAAGCTATTACTTTTTAAACATTTATTCTCATGACAGAAAAGAGAAAATATATATTACATGAAACATTTTCTGTTTTGTCACTCACTGTTCATAAGGTTATTCTTTCACATGAAGATGTGTTGAAACACTTTGTTTCAAAATAACGTTTACTGTTTGCCATTTAAAAGTGTTTCTTCGATGCACCTATTGCATAGATAACTTTTCCACCTTGAGAAAAATATAACACATGACAGTATAAGGGTTAATGCTACAATTACATAGACATATACAATGTAGACAGATTGAAAACTACATTTTGTATAATTATAATATAATTTGTTTATTTAAACTTTGAATGAGATTAGATCAAAAGCAATAGTGTAAATATGACAACTGTAAACAGAACTGCTTGAACTGAAATGAATTGACCAGTATACGGCCAATCTATGCTCTGTATTGTTGGCTGTTGGATTTTTTAGATTTATACCTTTGATATTTCCCGGTTGGTTATGGACAGTTCCAAAAAATGAAAGCTTGAAAAGACCATGTTACAAATTCGGTATTCGATAAAATTCGATAAGGCTTGCAAATATAAACCGTCTTTTAACAGCACTGTCGGTTGCTTTTTGTTCTTGTCGTCCATCATATTTCCTTTATATTAAGTAGGTTAAGCCGAGTAAAGAAAATAAATGCGTAATTTGGCAAAAACATTTGAAAACAAAGTGTGAGACATCCCTCACGCATTTAATCCTTTAAAACGTTTTTGAAACGTCATGTTTTGCAAAAATAAAATAATTCTATGATATACAAATGAAAAGTAGAAAATCTGTAAACTTAAAATTTTCTTAGAAATTATTAATGACCTTATTAAAATTTCATAGCTAACTTAAAAGCACGAAAACCGATCTCCTCGCTTTAGTTGCGTTACTATAGTTGTATATATACCTCCTCAAGACATAACGATGAAAATTAGCCTCCGTGTCAATAACAAGTAGGAGATGGCACATTATTATTTTCTTTGAAAAATAATTTTTTTAAGTCTGCTCTTTGATAAAGGGGCGGACAGCTCTTTATCCCTTTCTCGTATGAAAAGTGAACCCTTTGATGCGTACATTTTTGGTCTCACAGTTACTTTCCGTCGAACATGTTCTCGATGCACGTATGTTTTATTGGCAGTATTCGGTTCACTGTAAAAGTTAATTAAAAACAATTGCAAAATGTTTCAAAGAAATATTTTTATTTTATGCTTTTTAGTAGATTACTGATTTATCCGTGAACATTATATTTGATAATTTCACAGTGAAAATTATCAAAATATAATTTCACACTTTTCAATGACGGAACTATTTTTGTAAGATTTTCCCCTTGTGGTACCTCAATTTTAATTTTGCTTACAATTTGACAATGTCATGCTGTTTAGAGAAAAGCAAAGCTGAAATTTATAAATAAATTAAATATCAAAAGTAATAAAAAGAAGAAAACTTACTTCTATTCATCCAAATTACCAATCACCAAATATCGTCTCTTAATTTTTTGTTTCATTTTACAGCCCCGAAAAATACAATGATTTCCCCTGAATCAAACACAATTATTTTCATCCCGTGAAATACATAACTTTTAAAAATGGCGACCGCTAACATTTAACAGAGCCAGGTTTTATGTAAATTCGCAGTAAGTAACAGAAATATGAATGGATTGTTGGACTTTTCTCCTACTAGAATTGTTTGTTTTTATTATAAAAACAAGCGATCATTCATATTTTTTGTAATAAAATGAATAATATCACCGCCATGTAACGTTGATTATCGAACTTATATTTCAGCCCAAGACTTCTTGTATTTTATGAGAAATTCAACTAATACATGTACATAATAGAGGCTACCAGTGGGGAAAACAGATTTTAATATTAAAGTTAATATCAAGGAAAGTTCTTAATAACTTGCTTTTAAGCATAAAATAAAAAAAAAGAATTTTTTTTGTTTGTACGCCACTCGTGAGAATACTGTTTTTAAAGCTCACTCGATGAAATAAAACAAACAAACTAATATCCTCTATGTATTGCGGTGTTATTGTAACTGAATTTTTTTCAGTTAGTTAACTTCCGAGTGAACGATGTCTGAGTTTTAGTAAAGTGAAGTAGAATATATAACACAAAGTTTATCTAACATTTGTTGTCTTTATTCAAATAAATAACAAGAACAATCTATAAAAGCTTTATGACAAAATAAAAGATTCATATAAAACAATTAATATTTGGGTTTTTTTTGCAAGTTTCCAAAATGAGCAGTTCTCTGGTGATTGGAAACATGACTGAAAACATGATTTGAGCCGTGTCACGACAAAACCAACATAATGGGTTTGCGACCAGCATGGATCCAGACCAGCCTGCGCATCCGCGCAGTCTGATCAGGATCCATGCTTTTCGCTTACAGACCATATAGCAAGTAGAGAAACTAATAGCGAACAGCATGGATCCTGATCAGACTGCGCGGATGCACTATGTTGGTTTTGTCGTGACGCGGCTCATTTATTTTTACACATTAAATTTGCATTCTCCAAAACCAGCCAAAGTAAGTAAGTCCTAAATGTACTTGTGGAACGTTATAATTACTACATATATCATCATTTTAATAGACGTTTGAATATGGATGTATCCTTAACTTTTTTTCCACATATTATATGCATTCATACACATTATCTTAGTAGATAGATGCCTTTTTTTGTTGTAAATTTAAAGTGGGCGGAGAAGAACTATGTAAGATTTCATATCTTTCGTTCTAACCCCTTTCATATCTTTCGTTCTAACCCATTTCACATACTGAATGCATGTATATTATGTATATTATGTACTGTGTATGATTATGAATAGAATATGTTTAAACTAAATTCACAACTTGATGTTAAGATAACGAATATCTCACTCACGATGTAGTTGCATGTCTACCTAAACCCAGAATTATATTATGTCCTTCTAGTTTTTTCTTAATAACTTTATAACTTGTTTCTTCAAATGACGTCCAAGAATACAATTAAAATGTGAATTTCATAGGTTTAATGATATCAAACTTGAAACTAAACGATTAGTTTAATATTGCCGATTAGTTTAATATTGTCGGGAAGAAGGGCTATTACGAATCAAGTACATTCATAATATCACTGTGCAATCAAATTTTTCATCACAACTTTGAAGATAACAATTTACGTCTACAGACATTTCTAACCTTATCATTTCATTACGTGGTCTGAGGACATATTACATAAAACACAATTACCAAAGTCAAGTTACAAGTCCATGCGAAGAAAGGCAAGTTTTTATAACTGTAGAAATAGTAACTTTTACATTACTCGAAAAGGTTTGGACGATTACTTTTAAATTACAGACATTTATTACATGTTTTGCAGTAGATTACTGAATTATAACGGTTAATTATATTCTGATAATTTCACAGTAATGATTACCAAATATAATTTCACAGTAGCCGAACTATATTTGGCGTAAAAATAAAATATTTATGATTAATGAATGTTTTTTTCAGCGGAAATGTAGTCAATCATAATAAAAAATGTACGTGATAACTGTAGTTCGTAAATATTTACGAACGTTGTGCTGAAAAACATCTAAAATCTAAAAATAATCATGGAATTATATTTTGCTTCAACATTGTGACGTCATTATTTGATGACGTCGTGAAGATAAGAGCATGACGTTACGCGGCAAAAATCAGTAAAATGGTGTAAAAATCGTTAAAAAATCATGAAATAAACAGAAAATTTGTTTGTTTTACATGTAAGATCAAATAATATTTCACTCGTGAACCCCAGCTATTATATTTTCACTCGTGGCTACGCCACTCGTGGAAAATATTGCATCTGGTGTTCACTCGGTGAAATATTTTTCGATCTTACACTGAAACAAACAAATATCCTCTATTTAAATGACATTAGGGCACATTTAACTTAAGAAAACGTGATTGAAATGGTTCTACAGTTATTTTATTTAAATGTATGTGTATAACGACAAGAACCTATGCGTAACTCTTAAAATCTTTAAGTCTAAAACTGTCAGAAACGTTCAAAAGCAAAGATTGATAACTGTCACATCTGACCGTATCAATGGTTAACCAGTATGAGAAAAATCACTACGGCGGACGATTATCTTATTCATCGATGTCATTCTGACACTGCAAAGGTGATACAATGAATTTCAAGCGTCACTGCTGGAGGAAGATCTTTTAGATGTATTCAGGCACGAGCAGGCATCCGAGTAGAGCCGCCACCAAACTTATTGAAATACTAGTAATAATCCAAAGTCCCTAATTCGAACTTCAAACGGCGAATGGCATGTCACTGAGATCACTGACCTTGACCATCATGATACTGTTGATTTTACATAAAACAAAAGCTGTCTACCATAAATCAGATGCTGCAATATCATGATAATGCCAGCTCGTATCAAAATCAAATGTTAAGCACATGCAGACGGGATTTGGCTGTAATAACATACATTACAGTCAAAATAATTATATTGACCGAGTCCTGTACAAACTTAAAATGTTTCATGTCGATTTTTTTTTGCAAAAAATGAATGACTTTTTCCGTTACACTTTCATGTCAATTAGAATGATTACAATCATTCAAGCTCAATTATTTCCCAAATAAACTATCGATATATTCGTGATATGTTAAGATTTACTGCTTTTGCATTTCTTTTCTGGCTTAACTACGGGTTTAAACGCCAGCGTGTCCGGAGATATGACGTAACCACCGTGACGTAATTCAAAGTCTTCAATATGTCCTCGTATCTCTTCAGTAATGTCGTCAGTATCGCGTGTTACTTGGATACCCTGTAGAAATCAAAATATAGAAATGTGTTAATTGTTGTTGCATTGTTTTGGGTGACTGAATTATATTATAATAAGAAATGGAACTTTTTGTACTGAAAATGCCCAACATTACTTTATTTCAGACTCTCTGTGAGACAATCTGTAAGTAGGTCCATAAGTATACAAAAGTGAATTTTGATAGCAATAATTTTCCTATAATATTGATGCTGTGAGAACAGGAAGTAGTATTTGTATGATTTAATTAAAGTACAGATCTATAAATTTCAATGTAGATCTATAATATATAATCAGACAATTTTTCTAAAGTTTGTATTCCTGAGATGGGCGAATTAATGATAAAGTACCTCTAAAGTAAGATGATTCAGTTTTGATTCCTCGTTTTCATTTATAGCCACCAACAAACCCGTTGCTCCTTGCGTTGTTATTGGATTTTGACTGAGCTGTAAATACATTCACATACATCACACATTCGGAATGTATGTTTTACCATTAACAAACATCAAGAATATAAATATGCATGTATACTAAACACACCTAGACTCTAAATTTCTGGTGCAAACATGACAGTGTAAGTAATTTTTAATAAATATAATTTTCAAACTAATTTTAGAAACAAATTAACGTTATTATACACTCATAAATGTTTAGACAGGAAACCATCCTTAGAAACAGCCTTAAAAAAGCGACTTTAAGGATTTAGGGTCCATTGATAGTGCCCAGCCTTGATAAAATTTGAGAAAGGACTTCAATGGTGTCTGTACGATCCTGGACACTTTTTAACGATGCCCTTGTGGTTAAAGGTCTGCTCCTCAACCCAGGGGTCTTGGGTTCAAGCCTTTCTATGTTCACGAGCATCTTTATTCGTATGGCACCCGTACAAATCTAAACTATATTCCTCCCGCACATTTGTCTCAATACAGTTATACAAATACATAAAATGTTTCAATACAGTATTACAAATACGTGAAATCTTTCAATACAGTATTACAAATGCGTAAGATCTTTCAATACAGTATTACAAGTACGTAAAATCTTTCAATACAGTAATAAAAGTACGTAAAATATTTCAATACAGTATTTTAAAGACGTAAACTCTTTCAAAACTGTATTACAAATAGGTCAAATCTTTCAATACAGTTTTACAAATGCTTAAAATCTTTCAATACAGTACTACAAATACGTGAAATCGTTCAATACAGCATAACAAATACGTGAAATCTTTTAAACACGTCAAATCTTTCAATACAGTATTACAAATACAGTGTACTAAAATCTTACAATGTTTTTATATAAAAAAACTTACAGCAAGTGATTGTAATGACGTATTAACATTCAACGCCTTAGCAAATGCTTTACAACCTTCGAAGCCGATTCTATTATTAGAAAGATCAAGAGAGTGTAGTGATTTGTTCTCTTCTAAAGCTTCACCTAGAGCTGCTGCACCATCGTCTCCAAAACCATTCCATGACAAGTTCAGGTGACGTAGTTCTTCATTTTTCTGTAAAATAATTCGCACATGTATATCATTGACACGTTTTATTGATTTGAAACACAGTCACGTGTAATTTCTTCACACATGTGACGTTGAAAGGACTGTCAAGAATCATTTAGAACATCTTCAAAAAAAAAATGTAAACAAACTTAAGTTAACCGATTGCAATATTTAAATATATGTAAACGAAATTCTGATTAAACTGATCGGAATATATGAATATATTCAAAAATATTTCGGTATTAACCGATGGCAATTTGTGAACAAATGTAAAAACAAAAACAATGTATCAACGTTAACCGATGTGTATAAATAAATACATTTGTAATAAAAAGATTTTTATGTTTACCGAGGGAAATATGAAAATATATGTTCAAAAATCCCAATAGTTCTACGTTTACCGATGGCAATATGTATATATATTTAAATATATTTAAAAAAAACACACTAATCCTGTGTTAACCATTGGCAATACTTGAAAATATATAATCAACACAGCCCAACAATTCTATTACAAAGCAATATCTTTATTTCTTTTAACCCATTACTTCATGAGCATTTTGTGAAAAATGGCTGTTTTCATTGAAAAGTCTCCCGTTACAAGTTCAAATTGCTATAATACTATAAAAACTGCTTCAACACTAATCAAACTTGGCACAAATGTTGACTGGACCATTGCCCTTGCAACAACATGATCAGGCTTAAATTTTCTGTTACCATGGCAACGAGGGGTCATCTCAAAATTGCCAAAAATCACTATTTTGCGTTGATTTTTTCCATCAAAATTGATTTCAAAGTGCTGCAACTTCTCAATGGATTGAGATAGAGTCAAATGCTTTTCAACGTTGGTTACATGTTACCTTATGATCAATCTGGGGTCATTTACAGCCTCTCACAAGTCCAAAATTTTCTTGGCGATGAGGGGGACTCCGCCCCCCTTCAAACCCCCCCAAACAGAAGGGGGCACATCCCCCTTCTGGCAACCCCCTTATGTATCATTTGGTTGGGGGGCCGCGCCAAAAAAGAGGTCACTTTTTTTAACAACATTTCTCAAACAAAAACAAGTGTTTGGGGCCTAAATAAGGCATTTTTCATCATTTGAGACAACAAAAAAAGGGGGGGGGTGAAAAAGGCGTTAAAAGGCGTGTATATGAAGTAATGGGTTAACAGAAAATGATGAAAATACTTGAAATTACCCTAAATCGCGTTTTTTCATGTTTAAACATGGCCTGTCATATAAATTTGAAGAAAATTGTTGTTTTGTAGATTTTTTTGATTTTTTTCATTAACCCATTACTTCATGAGCATTTTTTGAAAAATGGCTGTTTTCATTGAAAAGTCTCCCGTTACAAGTTCAAATTGCTATGATACTATAAAAACTGCTTCAACACTAATCAAACTTGGCACAAATGTTAACTGGACCATTGCCCTTGCAACAACATGATCAGGCTTAAATTTTCTGTTACCATGGCAACGAGGGGTCATCTCAAAATTGCCAAAAATCACTATTTTGCGTTGATTTTTTCCATCAAAATTGATTTCAAAGTGCTGCAACTTCTCAATGGATTGAGATAGAGTCAAATGCTTTTCAACGTTGGTTACATGTTACCTTATGATCAATCTGGGGTCATTTACAGCCTCTCACAAGTCCAAAATTTTATTGGCGATTCATCATTTGAGACAACAAAAAGGGGGGGGGGGTGAAAAAGGCGTTAAAAGGCGTGTATATGAAGTAATGGGTTAAACAATTAAACAAATAAACACCATCACGTGATAATAGCTGACTTCTAATAATACATACAGTTAAAAATGTGTCAGTAATAAACCCTATTTATTTGTGGGAGTATATGGTAAAAATCTTTAAAAAACATCACAGTTAAGAAAATATAACTTACATATATGGTGTCGCCCCAAGCAACGGCACCAATCAAGCGTATATGGTTCCAGCTCATATCTAGGTCTAAGATAGAGTCGTTAGTCTCTATGAAAATATAACAAAAACAATCAAACAAAAAAAATTGAAACCTGATTTGGCAAACATTTATGAACGTTTCAATATCTTAATTCGGAAAAAAAAACATAGTATGTTTTGCTAAAATATAGAATTTATTTAAACATTATGAAACGGGGTAATACAGTGACAAATTGAATGACTAGATAAGATAGTGTTCATGAGAGACCATTTAAAGTGTGACATCTTTTACGCTGCCGCCGCACACTCCAGCACCGACTGAGGCATTATTCGATATTAAGTACTGATTATTTCAGTATAGGAAACCAGGTGTAATAGACGTGTGATTAGTTGTCAAAAGGAATTGTATATTTAAACATACAAAACAAGATTTGTTACGTTATCACTATTGTTATAAAAGAAGCATAATAAAATCTTGTTTTAGATAGTTACCTAAAATTTTGGCAAGAACTTGACCACCGCACTCTTGAAAGCTGTTGTGGCTAAGATTTAGTTTCTTTAATTTTCTGTTAAACTGTTTAAAGAAAGAATGAAATAATAATAACATGCTACTTTTCCTAATAAATTATGTATTGCATCCTTGTTGGATTTAAATCTCATTCTTAAACCATTTATCTTCTGAATTAATTAAATTATCATATATATCTTTGAATTTGGAACTGATCATTCTAAAAATACTGTTGCATTTGAACTTAATGTACTTAAATAATAAAATTTAGCAAATAACAGTAAACAGTACTAATGTGCAGCATTGTGACATAGGCAAGTCTTAATCGATGCAATCACTTCGTTTACAATGGAAAAATATCGAAAGATCCACAATACAAATAAGAAAATGTACAAATAAGGAACAATAAATATACACATAAGGAACAATATACATTTTTGCAAAATAAATTGATACCTTTAAAGCCTCTGCAAAACATTTGGCACAATCATCATCGAGATTATTTCCTGAAATTAATGATATGGTAATTTATTGTAGTGTATAACAATCAATAGCATGGAAATATACTAGTATATTAATCAATGAATGGCATGGTAATATATGACAACGTTTGACAATTAATGGCACAACGATATTTGCCATTAAGGGCAATGAATCGGTGTAGTAAACGATATTGTATTTTATGTCAGTGCATGGGATTGAATAAAATAGAAATATATGGCAGCGTAATGAAATGAATGTCATTGACATAGACACTTAATGACGTTGTCATATATAGCAACGTATGACAACAAATGCCATGTTAATATATAACAACGTATGACAACAAAGATCATGGTAATATATTGCAACATAAAACAACGAAGGTCATGGTAATATATAGCAACGTATGACAACAAAGATCATGGTAATATATTGCAACATAAAACAACGAAGGTCATGGTAATATATAGCAACGTATGACAACGAATGTGATGGTAATATATAGTAATGTATGACAACGAATGTGATGGTAATATATAGCAATGTATGACAACGAATGTGATGGTAATTTACAGCAACGTTTTGCAAAGGATGACAATGAAGATCATGGTAAATTATAGCGACGTTTGACAGAATAATAATAGTATAAATGAAAAAGGGAAATCAAAAAAAGAAACGAAAGTACAAGGATATACCTGCTGCTTCAAAAGATGTTATACGCAGATTTTCTGACAACAGTTCTGTTAGTAATGAAATCTCATAAAGCCCGATACTTGTGTTTGACAAATTCTGAATAGAGAATTAAATAGAATTGTTTTGAATAAAAAGAATAAATTACGGATATAGTTTTTTCAATGTGCATTTATGGAATACCTAAGCCTTTGTGCATATATCACTTTTTGTTTGTAATGGAACTTTACTTTATAATGCTGCGTCCCCTTTTTTAAACTATTAAGTACATTAATATTTATTATTAATTTATTATTAATGCAATGTATTATTAAAATTTACGCCCTTTATTATAGGAAAATCAAATCCAGTTATGATATGTATAACTTTTGTTATATCATTTGCATTTTTAATATAAGATATAAAGCGTTAATCATACCATTTACAATTTTATCATATAATGTAAACTCTTTATAAGGGTGCATTCCACAGTTTTAATTCTATGAACTGCGTACATGATTATCAAGCAGATAACTACGGTGTCCTTATCGTGCCATTTAGAATGTCGTCCGTCGCGTCTAAGGGTAGACACACGACAATGCGAAGTGACATCGCGACAATGCGAAGCGACGCTCGACAACGCGAAGCGATATGCGACAATGCGAAGCGACGCTCGACAGTGTCAAACGATATGTCGCACTGTCGCCTAGAAATGTCGCGGTAAAAAAGGGCGACATTTAAGAAATGTCGCTTCGCGTTGTCGAGTGTCGCTTCGCATTGTCGAGCGTCGCTTCGCGTTGTCGCGATGTCACTTCGCGTTGTCGCGATGTCACTTCGCGTTGTCGCATTGTCACTTCGCATTGTCGAGTGTCGAGGTTGGTAGAAGTGCATACCACGACACTCGACAATGCGAAACGACAACGCGACAATGCGATACGACGCTCGACAATGCGAAGTGACACTCGACATCGCGAAGCGACATTTTTAAAATGTCGAGTAAATGTCGCGTTATTTTTATGATTTTTACACCGCGACGCTCAACATTGCGAAGCGACACTCGACAATGCGAAGCGACACTCGACAACGCGAAGCGATACTCGACAACGCGAAGCGACACTCGACAATGCGAAGCGACATTTGGAATAATATCGTATCGCATTGTCGTGCGTCTACCGGTGCTTGGTCAGAATTTACTAACTCACCGACAAACGGTGCGATCATGGAAGGGGTCGCACTAAACTGCTGACGAATTAGCTGACGATATAGAATATATAGGAAACTGCTGACCAGTTAAACAAAGAAGGATTATCGAAAACTGCTGACCAGTTTAGATAAAGAAGGGAAAACAATGAAGGTGTCAAATTGCCGTTGGTGATATTACAGTCGAGGTCGAGAAATACTTGATAAAATGTTTTTTCAAGATGTCAATATTACAAATGATACATATTAATTATAAAAAATTCAATTGATATATACTGTATATTTCTCAATTTATTTTGATATAATATTTTATTTAAGTACCTTAATGAATTTTCTTCTATGTGTTATATATTGGTTAAAAATTTTAAAAATGTAGTCAAAATATTTGATGTACGAAAAATCATAATTTGTTTCAAGTATGTATAAAACTATGCATCATAGGTTAAAAATATATACATGTACATATACGTAATGTATATTTTTAACAAAATATAATTATTATGTCGTATTTAGTGCAAATATGAAATAAAGTGATTTCTGTTTCCTTATTTGTTGTTCGTATTAATTGTATAAGTAATATTGAACAAAAATTAATAATGTGCTAATTGTTATAGTTAAATAAGCTTTTATTACATTATAAACAACATGTTTCCACAGATATCCATTAAACTGATAATTTATCGAGATCGATATGCCCCAAGGTCATATTAAAATCGATTTTCACACGCGACGTGTCATTCTTGATTTATCTATGACAAAATACAATAAACAGTCAAAAAATATGTTATTAAAATGCTGACCATATTGTAGAATCTGCTGACCAGTTAGATATATAGAGAAAAATATATTTAAATGCTACGAAAATTGTTACTCATTATGCAAATTTAATATATTTTATAAAATAATGTCGACATTTAATTAAGTAAAAACACTGCTGACCAATTTAATGTTAATTCAAATTGATTTAAGCCGTAAAAACTCTCTTATTCTATATGGTCAGCAAATTTAACGCTCTTTACATTCAGGCGAGAAAATGCTGACAGTTAAACATATAGTAGAACCTGCTGACCAGTTAGATATATAGGGAAACTGCTGACCAGTTAGATATATATAGAAAAAATATATTTTGCCGTGAAATTGTAATTCATTTTATTATGTATGCAAATTCAATTTATTTTATAAAATTATGTCGACATTTAATTAAGTAAAAACACTGCTGACCAATTTTAATGTTATTTCAAATTGATTTAAGCCGTAAAACTCTTCTTATTCTATATGGTTAGCAAATTTAACGCTCTTTACATTCAGGCGAGAAAATGCTGACCAGTTAAAACATATATACACATGTAGTAGAATCTGCTGACCAGTTAGATATATAGGGAAACTGCTGACCAGTTAGAAATATAGAAAAAAATATATTTTGTTCGTGAAATTTTAATTCATTTTATAATGTACGAAATTCAATATATTGTATAAAATTTTGTCGACATTTAATTAAGTTAAAACACTGCTGACTTATTTAATATTAATTCAAATTGCAATTATTGCTTTTTGAAAATACATTTTTTTTTTCCGTTACAAGATTTTTCTATTGAAATATCACTAACAAGAGATTTTGATAAAACTCATAACATCATAATTCTTTATAAAACATTAATTCAAATTTTTGCATATCTTTTAGAGGTATAAAAAGCTGTTTTAATATATCCTTTTAAAAAAATCACGGATTTATATTACATGTAGTTTAATGTAAATCCGTGTTAAAATGTATGATATTATGGTACTTTAAATGTATATATTAATTTAGTTTATAAACATAGTGCATATAAATGCAAAAATTAAAAAATATAATTAAAAGAACAAAAGTAATTTCCCATCTTTTTATTACCCCCTACGGCGTGTTTATATAACTTCACACCTTCAATGTTTCCCTTCTTTGTGTAACTGGTCAGCATTTTCCGATAATCCTTCTTTATTTAACTGGTCAGCAGTTTCCTATATATCTATATCGTCAGCTAATTCGTCAGCAGTTTAGTGCGACCCCTTCCATGATCGCACCGTTTGTCGGTGAGTTAGTAAATTCTGACCAAGCACCGGTAGACGCACGACAATGCGATACGATATTATTCCAAATGTCGCTTCGCATTGTCGAGTGTCGCTTTCGCGTTGTCGAGTATCGCTTCGCGTTGTCGAGTGTCGCTTCGCATTGTCGAGTGTCGCTTCGCAATGTTGAGCGTCGCGGTGTAAAAATCATACAAATAACGCGACATTTACTCGACATTTTAAAAATGTCGCTTCGCGATGTCGAGTGTCACTTCGCATTGTCGAGCGTCGTATCGCATTGTCGCGTTGTCGTTTCGCATTGTCGAGTGTCGTGGTATGCACTTCTACCAACCTCGACAAACTCGACAATGCGAAGTGACAATGCGACAACGCGAAGTGACATCGCGGACAACGCGAAGTGACATCACGACAACGCGAAGCGACGCTCGACAATGCGAAGCGACACTCGACAACGCGAAGCGACATTTCTTTAATGTCGTTCTTTTTTACCGCGACATTTCTAGGCGACAGTGCGACATATCGTTTGACACTGTCGAGCGTCGCTTCGCATTGTCGCATATCGCTTCGCGTTGTCGAGCGTCGCTTCGCATTGTCGCGATGTCACTTCGCATTGTCGTGTGTCTACCCTTAGACGCGACGGACGACATTCTAAATGGCACGATAAGGACACCGTAGATAACCAAGTACCAAATGTTTGATACGAATTCACCCCTCTCCTATCACAAAAAAAATAAATGAATAAAATAAAATTAAATAAATAAATAATAAAATTTGGAATTTTTATGTGTTCTCAGTGTTTTTTGTACTCACCACTTCGGATATAGTAGTATTTTCGTCTAAGGCTTGAACTAAACACTCTACACCATCACGTCCTATGTTATTGCCACTTAAATTGACTGAACACACGCACATGTTTGTCTGAAACCGGAAATGATTTGAACACGTTCAAGCTAGAACACAGTATATAAACAAGTCTACTTCCTTATATCGCAAGTACGGTACAAGTTAAGATATATATGCTCCCAAGTAAGATACAGTGATCGGAAGTAACATGTGCTTTTACTCGCAAGACAGGGTACACATTGAATTATAAAGGCTCACAAGACAGGATACAATGAATTTGATTAAGAATGTTAAACATTACCGTTAGATCTTACTTTAATTCAAAGTTCTGATATCCTAATTTGATGGAATAAAATGCGTATTTTCATTTTCCGTATATTCACTGTAAAAAAAAAAATTTTTAACCTCAGTAAAATATATTTTCCGTATTTTCACTGATGCATTGCCGGACTACTTTCTTTAAAAAAAAGAAAAATTATTTATAATAAACAGATAATAACAGTTTTTTCTATAAATACAGGATTTACTTTTATCTTGTGATATGAAAATTATCATATTTCACTCGTGGCTACCGTCGCTCATGAAATATTATTGTCATACCACTCGATGAAAATAAATCCTGTATTTATATAAAAAAAACACACTTAAATATCCTCTATATGTATACTAGAATGGTTTAAATTTGACATTTGATTACCGTAGAACTATGATATACCAAACTTTAATCAGAGTATAGTAGTTGTACTATGTCAAAAAATGGAGCGTTTCAAAGCTGATGGAGAGTATTCTGGATAGGGTCAAATTTCAATGCTTATAAGTTATAACCCGTTTCAGTGGGTTTATGTTTTGTAGCTATAATTGTATGTTTTATGACTGGTAGATATCAACATTTGCCATTCTATTTGATTTGTACAAGACGAGGGGGGCATAGCCCCAGAGTATTTATCAGATGGCCGAGTGTTTTGATGTTCTTTCTCTTTTGTGTCATAGTCAAACATAAAAACACGTTCCCTGTTGTCACAATATGAAACCCTTGAAAAAAGTAACCAATAAACGAGCATCTGAATATGAAATTTTTGTCGCTTTCCCTTTCTCTGCAGTCACAATAAGTAAACCCCAGCAAAAATGAGCCAATCGATCGGCATGCTCTGGAGTGCGGGTAACTAATACCACGGGGGAGGAAGTGTTACACGAAGGATGGAGTTCTTATGATAACTTGTTTGGAGTTCTTTTGATAACTGTCACGGAGTTCCTGAAAAACGTTACGGATTTCTGTGGAAAACTTTTCTATATACTTTGAGAACTCACGTAAAAAATGATCATTTTTACCATTAAATGGGGAGTTTGAGGTGCTAAATTAAACTTTGATAATTAAGCTTGCCCTACGTATTATATTATGTTTCAGAAAAAAACCTTTTAGTCCATTTTTCATCGCCTTTTTAAAAAAAATCTGGTAGTTTTGAATAAAATTTCCAAATTACTTGCTCATTCGTACATATTGACCTTTTCATTTGTGATCTTCTTCGTTGCTATACTTAATTACCTAATGATAATGGAAAGTTGTAAACATAAAGCCCAGGCTAATAAATTTATACCCGATTTTTCAAATGTCACGGAGTTCTTGTGATAACCCAAAATATGTCCTGGAGTTCTTATGATAACTTTTGTTACTGCCAGCGTGTTTCTTGTGCTTAATTACGGTACGTTTACGCGTATTTTATTATTTAAAAAGTGTACGAATGAGAAGTAATTTGGAAATTTTACTCAAAACTACCAGATTGTTTTTTAAAAAGGCGATGAAAAATGGACTAAAAGGTTTTTCTGAAATATTATACAATATGTAGAGCAAGCTTAATTATCAAAGTTTAATTTAGCACCTCAAACCCCCCATTACATGACCATTTTTTACATGAGTTCTCCAAGTATATAGAAAAGTTTTCCACAGAAATCCGTAACTCCGTGACAGTTATCATAAGAACTCCAAACAAGTTATCATAAGAACTCCATCCTTCGTGTAACACTTCCTCCCCCGGATATACCTGCACTCCAGTTAACGCACTGTGCATGTATATGTATACGATTTCACTCTGGCACGTTTACAACAGAAAGGTCCCCAAACTATGATACAACCAATGTTACTGTTGGTTTAATTTTGTTACAGTTATCATTACAGTATTTGTTCGGGATTATTAAATAAATAACACAGGTTTGTGAGTAACAGCAACAATATCATCCATCCCTTGGAAAAATATACTTTCTGTCGGTTAAAGAAAGTGCATAAGACACAAAATATTTCCTTTGAATATGCATTTTTTGGTTTTGTATTGGATATCTTGTTTTGATATGTTGTCCATGGTTATGCTAGTTATGCGAAGTTTCGGATGAAATGTCTTGATAGAGTTAATCATTCAGCTCGGGAAAACTTTGCTTCATATACAAATGTATACGAAACCACAATATACATATTGAAATAAATTATGAGTTGTTATTTTTGGTATGTGATCATTTTTAATAATTTATGAAGGTTTAAGAAAGTACTGTCGGCTAATGCTTAGGGTAACATTATTTTACTGTTATTGTTACTCAAAAACCTAATGTGTTATTTATATAACATGAGCTTACTATAATTATATAACGCTTGGTATTCTTAAAAGTCAGAATGGTTTGTTTAAAAGATTCTTTTTTCATGGTTTTAAAAACCCATTAAAAGGGGTATGAAAACCCTCTAGACAAAAGCAGAAATCATGATCACAAAATAGAAAAATAACGCTTTTTTTCGCGTTTCTTAATTTTTTATTCATTTATCGGAACAGATGAAATTACGTACATTTTAAAGTGCTTTTTGCCGGGTAAATAAAGTTTTTTTTTGCAAATTTAGGAGGCTTTCCGGGTTTTGGGGTTTTTTATTTTGTTTTGCCAACAAATTTACATCATCTTACCGTTAGAGCTAACGATAAAGCTCTGATATCCTCACACACCAGAGTCAGATTGCAAATATCCAGAGATTCTTCAATAAGCCCTTTTAACACTCGACGGCGGGGAGGTATTCCACCACGCTCGCATGCGGCGAGGTAAACTCGCTGGCTTATGTCCAAAGGTTTCTTAGGCTTTTTGTCTTTGTCTGAAAAAGTGTTTAAAAGAAAATGAAATATATACTTATTATAATTCGAATAAAGAGTTTGAAATGTCCATTAAAATGTTTTCGAGTTTGATATAGTGGGATTATTTCCTGCTAAGGATTTTGGAATCCTTCAAATGTGAAGGTTATACATGTGTTTTACGGCAGGTCTGTGCTTTCCAATCAGATATGTTAGGAACATCCTCGGTAACCCAGGCTATTTACCGTATACTAAATGTAGTATATACGGAATGTGTACCGTGGGTTCCGACGATGTGCTAGGAGAGGCAATTCGTGTTCCTTCTTCATCAGAAGAAAGGGAAGTCACCACTTGACTTTTCAGTGTCGATTTAACTTAAAATTTTAAGTTTATCAAGCTAAATCTGATGAAATATTTCATAAAAGTTTAAAAAAAAGTAAAACAATATTGTTTTAATGACCTTATGGTCGGTTTTTTGAAAGATTTGTAACATAAAAATGTCTATTCAATTTAATACTCGTATACATTAATATTGTAAGTAAACAAAATAAAAATGTTTCGGAACAATATATATCCGCTGCTATTTTAGTAGGTTTGGCAATGATTTTGCGCATGTGATACTCGATTTCAATAAAACATACGGTCAAATTTCTTTCATTCTTGATATTCTTTAATCATTATAAGTTTTGTAATACAAACCGTCATCACTAGCATTTTCTTCACTGCTACTACTTTTGTCATAGTCAAAATTATCTTTTAAATACTTGGGCGTTGTCGGTCGTACAGGTAAGTTCTGTAACTCTGCTTTCGATCCATCCCGCTTCATTTTTATATATGTTTTACTCCGTATGAGTGGCCTCCCTTCTTTCGGCGTCTTTATTTTACGCTGAACTTTCTTTTTTTCAATAGCCTTATGGTGTATCGGCATACGATCGCTTAAAGTAATAAAAAAACGCATTATGTATGAAAATGTAAAATAGCTAAACACACGTTACAACCAAATATAATATTTGATTCGCTATCCTCTAAAAACTTTTTTTTTCTTAACAGTCTTTATAAGTTAGTCGCGGTGGCGGCTATAACTAAAAGTACATCACATAAATCGTCAGACCCAGAAGTCGCTGGTTCGAATCCTTCGGCTCCACCACTAACAATAGTAATGGTTTATTGGTTGAGACCATAAAATACCCGAGGTCCCAAGTGTTGGTACCCTACACCGGGGATGTAAAAGACCCGATAGGGCAGCTGCAGAATAATGCACTACCTCGAAGATAAAAACACGACTTTGTCTCTTTATATTTAACCCTATCACATTTTATGCTTCAAAAATGAGCATCGAATATAATGCATATAAAGTTACTTCCTTATTTCCTTATTCCTTTTTCGAATATTTTACGAATATCCTTATTTAGATTTGAATAAGGAAAAAGGAACCAGTTGCAATTATAATGCAGGTTTATCAGAAATGATTGCAACTGTTGTCTTTCTTTGCGGATATTCTTCTGCTCTTATTTGAAATTGAATAAGTAATAAGGAACTGGTTCCATATTCCTTAATCAGTTTGAACATTTTTCAGAATATTTAGATGCGGGTTTTAGGCAATGCTTTTGATAATTGATTTTTTTGCAATTCTAAATGTAGATTTATAAAAAAAAAACGTTATTGCAGTTGTTGTATCTACTGTTAGTGTTTTCAGTGTTTTTCTAGTTTGCTGATTACAATGTAACCATAAATATATTTTTTATGTAATTATTTTTTCTGCTGTTCCTTATTTAGATTTGAAAAAAGAATAAGGAACAAGTTCCCTATTCCTTATTCGAAAAAGGAATAAGGAATGGGGATCTACCTTCATATACATAGATAATTTGAAACTGCACAGATTTTTATGTTTGAGCCTAATTTGTGACTAAAACGCCATAAAGACAAGAGATATGTTATTCAAATGTTATGACATGCATTTACTACAGTTTATATATCATTTATTCAGATTTGTTTATTTGCTGTATGAAACTTGAATGTTCTTTTAAAAAGAAGTACTGTACAGTCGATGTCACACAATTTTGTTAAGGTGTAATTTATTGTCGCGAAGAAAGCTAATTGAAATGCCAAAATGGGGATAATTTAGTCTTTTACAAATTTTGATTGATTTTCACAAATTGAATAGTGCGGTATAATTAATGTTCAATTAATTCATTATTTTGTCAGTATTTTTTGTGGTTCGTATTGAAGATATAATAGATATCGCGATTTCATCATTTGTAAACATGGAAACATGTAGATTATGGTGTAGATATAGAATGATATTTGAATGTGAATTATCATAAATTATCAATTTTGTCACGTTAAAGAGGTAAATATAAGAAAATACCATCTGTCACCGAAAGAAATAATAATGCATGAATGAATGAATGAATGAATGAATGAATGAATGAATGAATGAATGAATGAATGAATGAATGAAGGAAGGAAGGAAGGTTGGATGAATAAATGGATTTTTCATCGAAAGAGATAACTATTGCATAAATGAATGAATGAATGAATGAATGAATGAATGAATGAATAAGGAAGGAAGGAGGGTGGGAGGTAGGGAAGAAAGGAAGGAAGGAAGGAAGGAAGGAAGGAAGGAAGGAAGGAAGGAAGGAAGGAAGGAAAGAAGGAAGGAAGGAAGAAAGGAAGGAAGGAAAGTTGGATGGATAAATGAATTGCTGGAACACTGCAGAAATTGCATAAAATCAGAATATTTTGGTTACGTTCTGTATTTTGGAATATAGTTTGGTTTTCAATTTACATTCTTTCATTATTCAAACTTTCGTTTTTCTTCAAAGGTCAGTTACTATGAAATGAGTATTCACATCTTGTATTATAGAAAAGAAGAGATAAAGAAAGAAAGAAACTTTAAAAAAGAAAGAAAGAAAGAAAGAAAGAAAAAGAAAGAAAGAAAGAAAAAAGAAAGAAAGAAAGAAAGAAAGAAAGAAAGAAAGAAAGAAAGAAAAAGAAAGAAAGAAAAAGAAAGAAAGAAAGAAATAAAGAAAGAAAGAAAGAAAGAAAGAACAATCATACAAACAAAACTTTGAGGAGAAAGACACAATGAAGAAAAAAATACAATGATTAAATAAATGATGGTAACGTTTCTATACTTTATGAAATTTTACTTACTCGAATTCCCGAACTATTCTCAATGCTACATCACTCATATTTCCTTATTCTCTTACTGATTGTCCCTTCCTAAATATCTGCCTTTAATATCCCACAAATCATTAATAAGCGCCCGAAAAAACGCTTCCCTCTAAATGTATATCCAGCCCCAAACTACAGTCTCTTTGCCGGTTTTTTTCTTGTGGCTTTTATTCATTTATTTACAATTCAAAATACTTTACAGAAATAAAATATGTATTTTAAAAACCAGAAGAAAAGAAAAATTCAGACTTAAATAAAATGGTGATAAGATATTCTGTATTCAGACATTATCTAAATGCCGGTTAGAGATAATCAATTTAAATGCATTGAATGGTTTATATTGTGTAAACATATACCTTTCTATCTGAAAAATCATTCATTTTGGAATAATACCGCGAGATGACAAATTGCAGCTTATATCAGTGAAAGAAATAATGTTTGCTTTTCCGTTGTGATTTCGACATTTGAAATGTTTATAAACATCCGGGCGTTCTTGACACACTGTTAAATCGATGAAAATTTCACAGTCATTACTTTTAATTGAAGAAGAAGCGGCACAATATTTGCTTTTTCTGTACCATTCTCTGACGTAATGTAAATTCTAAAGTATCATTATGGTGACAATTTTAAATAATAGTTTTTAAATTTGTATCTGAATAAGAACTGTTACATTTTACTCAATAAAACAGATAAATTTCACTGGTGTACTAAGTGACCCCAACTATTTATCTATCGTCTGCTATTTCGGCGTTAATTTACGTTGTGAGTTTTGATAATAATTTACATGTGACCGTTTTACATTATTATTGGTTTCGTTTTATAATGATGAAAGTGATTTGATTAAATCCTTAAATACAACATCTGAATTAATGAACGAAAACCGCATTACAAAGGACTGTATTGGCGGATGAACCATATACATGTACAAGTGTACAATGTATTTGGGGGTACAACTGTAGTAAAATATCGGACTCAAAATTACCTCCCCTGGTGGTATCAGACATTTTTAATCTCTTTTTATCCTTCAAAAAATATGTGTTAATGAAATAACTAATAACAACTTTCACTCGACAATAATTTGTGTTTTATATATGTTGTTGTTGTTGTTGTTTTGTTGGAATACATTTCATCTTCATAATTTCTATTACGGTACTTTTATCATTATTACTCTATCATGATAATAATTGATAATAATCATTATGATCGTCGTCATTATCATCATCATCAGCAGCAGAAGCATGATCAACGTCACGAGAGAGTTTTCTTCCGTAAAAAATGAAACATTATGATTTCCACAAGCTTATTTCATTACGGAATTAGACCCAGCCAATTGTAGTCTAAAAAATTTGTCCTTTAAAATTTGAAGTTCAAGTCATTTTTAGCATGACTAGTTATACTTTAAGTGTATTTATTGACTAATTGTAATTTCTGATGACTATAAAGTTGTGTTTTTTTTTGTATTCTGCAAGATCTCATTTCATGGCGGAAGGATTCCAGAAGCACTACATGTCAGTATACATGACAGTTGAAACTTTGATTATTTGACAGTGACTTAGCAAATTAAAAAATATATTGAAAAGCAGATGGCTAACATAGAGTATTTTGGGCTTCGATTGATTTGATTAATGTTGATATTTAAAGTTATGAAATGGAGATTTCTGCAGAGTATAACAGGAGCCAAGAATTAAGCCTCAGATGTCTTATATGTACTACAAAATAAAGAGGGCGAAAATTGACTAGGCCGAGTCCTCTATGCACACGGTAGGAAGTTCCGCGAGAGACACAATTTGATGAAATACTCTAGTCCTTTTACACCGGTATTCATTTCATTTACTTTATTCTTATAGCATTTTTACCTGTCCTTAAATCTTGTTAAAAATATTACTTTTTTCGTGATCGTGTTACTACTTTTCGCGCGTTTTGTTAAGTCCATGAAACGTATAAAATGGTTGAAAACAGAATCCTTATAGAACGTCTAAAACAACAAAATTGAAAATATTGCAGGCTCGGTTTGATGGAGCCTGTTCACGGACGGCACTGGTATGTGCAAGTTACCGTCCACGCCTCCTAGCACCGGTTTTAGCAAAATTCAACATTTAAACACGAAAACGGTGAAATTTTGAATTTAGAAACATCCACAGATGTGTTAAAGACCAATTAAAGCAGTATGCTAAATTTTCTTCAGATAACTTAAATGATATCAAAGCAAAACATATATATTGCTGTGTCAAGAAAGTCCTTTAAAAAACAGCTAACTTACATATTAGCCAGTTTTATCTCCCCATCCTCCGAAACCCACATTCCACCAGGTGTCACCGTCTTTTTCAGCATTTGATGTACACGTCTGAACTATACAATAAATGCTTATCTACTCCAAAGTCGCTTGATAAATCATATAAAAATCCACTGATATGTTTCCTTATTTATTTATATTTTTATCTTTTTTCAATATGTCTTAGAAACGCTGGTTTCTGTAGAGAAAGAAATAAAAAACACAACACTATAGAATACTCGAAAAGATTCACACACCTTTAAAAGAATCAGTTTTTGCTCGATTTGATAGAAATCATGTATGAATCAAGTGTTTGTTCGTTCGTCATATCTTGCGTTATTCGTATAATAATATCAATAGATAGAAGATGTCCTGTCAACATAAGTGTAAACCCCTTCCATTAATAAGCAAACATTATTGTTTACCGAGCACCCAATGCAGGTCTTATATCAATTTACTTTTTAGATAAACGGTCAATTATAATTCACTCTTCACTCGTATACTTCTTTTTAACTGAAATTGTCAATTATGAACAGATTTTTTCAGTTTGATTAATTTTTTTCCGCTAAATCTTCTTCGACATCGTGAAATCTTTGATGATCTTTGGTGTACTTGTGTCAATACAGCTTATTACAGAATAAGGCCTCGATCGGATTTAATTCATCTTTAGGATTTATCGGTTTTTCTTTGTACATTTGAATGTCAACATTTATATCTTTTTCGATAACAGACTTATTTATCAAATATTTATTTATTAAATTTCCCCGTATCCGAGTACACTAAGTAATTTTATTTAACTAGCTTTTTTTATATCAGCTTTATAAAACGTGTATTTTATCAATTCTACTTAATCAAATTTGCGTTTCTTTTCACATTTGTGAGCACAATCTAATATCCTATCATTTTTTATAACAATTTTCTACATAAAGAAATATCGATGCCTCATGGATCTTTGACATAGGCATCATGCCTTTCTTGGATTTTTTAAAACATTTTTTACACCTTTTGTTATTATTTTTCTGTTTGACGTAAACGAAATAATCAAACATTTTGTTTGGTATACAGTGAATGCATTCTAGTGTAAATGGAAAAAAAAAATTAAAGTCAACGGTTGATAGATGTAATTCTATGTCAAGATATAATTCACGAAATACACAAGAAAATTTATTTAAAAAAAAAAAAACTGTACCGTCGCCTTTTTTCATATTCATGTCTGTAAAAACAGAAAAGGATCTGATATTTGATTAAAGAAAAATGGCACAAAACGCACTCTAACAAAATATTCAACTTCTGCGTATTTTTCGTAGATTAAGCGGTAATTGATAATTTTACAAACATTAGTCTTTCTATTTAAGTGTTTTGGCATTATTTCACCTATATATAAACTAATAAACAACCAGCTACAACCCCCTTAAAATAACTTTTAACCACGAAAGGTCACATTGCGGCTTTCCAGATGTATTTGAGAAACCAATTTTAATATAAGGGAATCAACATGTTATATAATATACTTGTATATGTAAATATTTAGATAGAAGAAATATACTTAAAAATTGAAATATGTCAACAAAACTTTTAAATACTATTACAAAAACAATTTGAGAGGGGGAGAAACAACAAACACATTTCATCACAGAAAATTGATTTTTTATGTTATTGCCTACCTTTTTAAAGGAGGAATGCAAAACATGGCGATTATGACGGTTTAGAGGTTCATATTTAAACCGATTGTAATAAATCCTGGTCATTTTGCGGTCATCTACAGACATCATTTATTAACCAGTAGATACATTAAGTGCAAATTCGTAAAAATAAATTGTATTCAAACGTGTTACGAAACTTTTTTTAAATTTCAAACGATTAACGTCAAACATATGAAAGAATAAAATCCGGATATAAGAGAGTGTTTAACATTTTAAGTTGTTAACACATTATGCTAGTACACTGGAAAGACGATGTCTCGGAAATTGAAAAAGGCGGGTTTTAATCCTTAACCTAAAGGGTCCGAAAATGTTTAACATTTGCAACCAGTTTATAGCAAAGCTAGCCCGCAAAGGCGTCCTGACTGACCAGGATCATTACTGTTGGTAGTTCAAGTCTTTTTTTTACTTTCTTTTTATTTTGATATTGAAACCCTAACTTTTTGGACTTCTCCAAATTCAAATTTGGCAAATCCAGCATACACATTCAACAGGTTAAAGGTTAAGTTACAGAATATATTATCAAAGGCATATCTAGGCATTTATGTACAACCACTTCCATGACACCCTAATGTTGCTATTTACGAAAAAAAAATTGCCGCTATGTTTCATTTAATATTGTCATGCCGCGTTATTGCCTGCCAAAAAGTGCCTCACTTGTATGTCGGAGTCAACTCAAACAAATGTATAAATCTTTAAATTTGAACATTCTATTCTGACAGTTTGTATTAATTTTGTGTATAAAAATATTACGCAATAATATGCAATTGAAAAAAAAGATGGTGCATTTTTTAACTGGACGGATGGATAGAGAATACCGTTCTAGTGTCTGATATTACAAAATTTTTCAGACAAGGCTAAGGATAAAAGAAGAACAAGGCTCTGCCGATCTCTTCATTTGTTTCATGCCGAGCCTGATAAATTTTATAATATCAGACACTTGTTTTGTATTCTATTTATCCTATTTTACATTCCAAATGAAAGAATCTATCGAGTTCATGTCTTGCACAGTAATATGTCAAAGGTCATATGCATATGAAAAAGTCCCAAATGTTTTAGTCAAATGTAAGAGAGACTTCAACATTAAAAAACTCTTTTCGTTTTGAAGTTTATCAGTTTAATATTTTCAAACTAGGTAAAAAGGTAAAAATATTTGATTTTTCTTCATTTTATTTCAATATGTATTAATGAGGGTGACTATTGAGTATATCGTTTCATTAGACGTCTTTTTTCCAGTGCTTTATATATCATTGCTCAGTTATGTGTGAAGTATATTGATTTTAAAACATTTTATCATCATACGATTTTCCATTGTAGTTTGTCCTATAAATATGAATTTATTTTTCAAAATAAACTGAAAAAAGTTAAGCAAACTAGAAAATATAGATCTAACACACTGATCAGCTAGACGTGACTTAATAGGTATACATATAGATATATATAGAATGTTTTATAAATGGTACGAAGAGTTTAGATATTCTATATAAATAAGTGTTAAGTCTTAATAGGTGTTAAGTATTTGTCAAATAGTCTCAGGATTTTTAGCGGGACTATTTGTTTTCTTCGCATTTTACATTAAAATGCGTCCTTTCATCATTATCTACAAATTTCCATCTGAAATTCATCCGAGTCAAAGTCATGTTACATTCAAGAATATTTAGTCTACAGATAATACATACATGTATATAATTCAATGATAACACGGTACTGATTACATTATGATTACTGGATGAAATTTCAAACACAAAAAAATATATTGGATTGGTCTTCAATGTGCACAATTTCCATGTATTTCAGATACTGATAAAACAATAGAAATGCATCATTTCGATATTCATACAAATTATTTCAGCCGCGTCATGACAAAACAAACATAATGGGTTTGCGACCAGCAATGATCCAGACCAGCATGCGCATCCGCGCAGTCTGATCAGGATCCATGCTGTTCGCTTACAAACCCTATAACAAGTAGAGAAACTGATAGCGAACAGCATGGATCCTGATCAGACTGCGCGGAAGCGCAGGCTGGTCTGGATCCATGCTGGTCGCAAACGCACTATGTTGGTTTTGTCCTGACGCGGCTCATTTCTTAAAAATGTTGTCTAGATCTTAGTGATGAATAATAATATGATGAATAATAACATAATAATAACATGATGAATAATAATATTTTGGTCTAGAACAATTTATTATCTGTTATCGGATTACATCTACAAAAAACATCTACGAATAACATCTACAAACAACATCTACAAACCTACAAACAACATCTACAAACAACATCTACAAACAACATCTACAAACAACATCTACAAACCTACAAACAACATCTACAAACAACATCTACAAACAACATCTGCAAACAACATCTACAAACAAACAACATCTACAAACAACATCTACAAACAACATCTACAAACAAACAACATCTCCAAACAACATCTACAAACAACATATATATACAACTATATAGTGCAGACGAATAAATTGATGTATTGATTTATTCACGTTTATTTTTATTTATGCTTGTTTCAAATCTGTGAACATGGAATCATTTCCCTTCCTGCCTTATTTTGAACATATTTTAACGTAATTTGTTCTTGCCTCTCTTTGCCTCTATCTGAAATGCTTCCATGGTTTCCAATACTTTCAATTGTCTTTTTTTATTCGTCATCTCATGGCTTTAATTAAAGTCTTATTTACTATAATGGAGTTTAAAATGAATTGGACAAACATTGTAGGTATTTACTACCTTTTAAAGAATTATATTTTTGTTTAGAGTTGTAAGTGATGTATGAACTCTTATAATATGAATAATAAAGTATTTTAGTCTTGAATAATTTATCATCTGCTATGGATTACACTTACCAACAACATCTATATATCACACCCTGGTGGTAATGTTTACGAATTTTTTTGCAGAAATATCGTCATGGTCACCAAGTGCCTCAACACATAATAAGTAGGAAAGTTCGTCGGAGTCAACTTAACCAAACGCATGAATCTTTAAATATGAACACTGTTATCATTTAAAAAACATAAATAAAAACAAATGTTAAAGATCCGACAGGAAAGAATACTTATAACAAAAATACTGATTAAATAGAGTATTTGTTTTATAATATAGGACATCTATACGTTATAAAAAACATATTTTACATTAATGTATTCGTCTGCCGAAAGCAGTTTGACCTGGATAAAGAAGTTAATTAAAAAAGAAAACTTGTCCGTTATCAAATTTTGGGATATCAAGATCAAAATTTTATGTAAAAAGAGCCTCTTAGACTGCAGAGAAGTGCTCGCTAGCCAGGCTCTATACTTATTTTTATATTCTTATTATTCTTGTATTTTAATGCGTAATATAGAATATATTTTTAAACAATTCCATGTTAGAATCTGTATAATACACTTTGCAAGATGGCATACACTAAACAAAATGATATTGTAAAAATGCTAATCAACAACCCTGAGGAAATGTAAATGTATCAACTCAACTGTAGTCAAAATCAAAAACAGTTGAAAACAAAACAAAATGAAAAACATATATTACGGTCACAAAATATCTAAGATGTAAAATTAAAGGAAAAAGTAAAGAAGATACTTTATAACTTTTTCATCACTTTTTGTTGTAAGGCTTGGCATTTTTTTTTAAATTTTAACTAAAATTCTAATTAGCAACACATAATTTTTACATAACTTTACAAGTTTCTTAACTAAAATCTTGGTTTACTGTATTTCAAATCCATTAATAATATGAAAGTCACTGAATAAAATCACTTTTTTATGCTTTTAGCTCATCAACGGTAAATCATGAACTCGCACAATCATCAAAGTTCATATTGATCACTGAGGATGAACCTAAATATGACAAAACTGGCTCAGTAAAAGAAGATTTTATTTCATTGATACAAAGACTTAACGTACACAAAGGTACAAGGAACAATGGTTTCACATAGAACCGAGTCAGTTCCATATCAGTGTGCATTTCCTAGTAACGCATAGTTCGAAATGTTTTCAAGTTTTAAAGTAGCGCTGAGAGTTTAATATCTGTCTCACGCATTGTTAAATATAGAAAAAAAATGTTTACAATACCCAGAAGTTAAATAATAAAGAACTGTCTTAAATAAGCCTATCTTATCCTGGTTAATTAATTAATGGTCACGCGTTCTGTGAACCTCGTCTTGCCTCGTTGGTCTTTGTTCTCATTTGTTATATTTTCTCACAAATGTCCAGAATAACTTTAAGCATTATATTCCAACAATTGTTAAGTAGTTGAATAAGTATGTTTAAATATAATTCTAAGAGGTATGGTTGTAACTTAATGAGTCTACTTAAATCATATCTAAAATACGTCCACATGAAGACCCCACATAAAGATAGACTTTGAAGCAATGCTCATTTTTTTATATTTACAGGGATGTTTCTGACACAAACCTTAACAAGCTAGTTTCTTTTAGATTCTTCTCAATTATAAATAGAACTTCCACAAAAAAGTTCAATAATGTACTAAATGATTTATAAACGTACAGGTCATAACTAGGTTTTAATCAAAATAATGATTAATTTGAAAAATACAATGAATGAAATATACATAGTCATGAATATTAAAAATACACATCGTTGTTTTTTCGTTAGGTATACAAATTGATTCATTTATACGTAAACAAATCTATTCCTTGTTATATATACTCATATAGTCATATTATATAAACATAATATACTCATATAAAACTTCATGTTAATTTCTTAGGTGTTTATTCGTTGTCTATAGGCAATGTGCTAGAAACAAATAAATTCAAAATCACAGAAAAAATACAATGTACAAAGATTCTTTTTCCCTTGCTTTTAAATATAATTTGATTTTTTAACATAATTATTTATATTCTATCTTGTCGATGTATGCATTTAATTAGTATACAGCATCAATTTGTAATGTTATGTCTTTTTTAGCATAGAGGCGGCTGTTTAATAAATAGATATAACAAAAACCGCAGTTTAGTATGCTGTATGTCCTTTTGTCGAATGGTATCCCATATGAGTAAATAAGGGTGGTTCAATTAAAAGTAATTGTTGCCAATGTTTTCTGGCCAACCTATTCAAAGCTACATCTTTTGGATAACTTTTGTCACATTCAACTGAATTAAGATATTGAACAGTTGCCTCAGCACTAGCACGTGGATAGAACGCAGCTACTAAGCTTCCACCAGTAGCATCAGACATTTCATGAGTTATTCCTAAAATATATCTCCATACAATACTTATATTTTGACGTCCTATAACATTGAGAACCCATGCAATATAAATGAAAAGTATAAAAAACATATGATATGATAGTCGCAGTTTTGAATATTTCTTTAACGCTACTATAATTAACACGTCCAGGAACAATGTTATTATCATAAGTTCAAACACTTTTCCTAGATCAAAACCTGTAAAGAATAAGAATTTTGTCCAGCGCCATAATCTAACAAAATTCAAATCCCATGAATTTGTATGAAGTTTAACGTAAAACAGGTCTTTGAATTTATCTTTCTTCAGTTCGCATTGATCATTTTCAAACAGTTCTTTTTTCATTACGCTAAACAAGTCTTGATGAGGCAATGTATCATCTTCCAGGATTAATAAAAATGACGAATTCTGTTCCAAAACATTTTTCATACAAAACACATAATCTTCACGCTCTTTCTCGTACCGGTTTTTAAAACTTTCTCGCTTTTCTTTATCCCGTTGAAAAATTGTAATCCATTCCGGAATATAATTCATATCAACATATGTTTCTGGGTTAAGGTCCACATTGCAAATACTTAGATATATCTGGAAATAGTTTTGATCTAATCTATTGATAAGTTTGATTAAAGCTGCAACTGTTTGTAAAAGGTAATGAGGCGGTTCGGTCTCTGTAAGATTGTTCTCTCGTGATAAAGTTATTATATTGATAGCAAGCACACACGTGTGCTCGTTGTTTTCTGAAAACTTATTCATTCTTGGTTTCTTTTCGTTACCTATAATGTTTTCTTTTCCGTTCAACGTTTTCATATTGGATAACACTGACTTTGCTTCAGCGACACGATTCTGATTATCCTCTTTGAAATATTCAACATGCCGAGCTTTCTGAATCTGTGACCATCCTTTGAAATATCTACCTAAAAGAAGGATTCCTATGGCATAAACAACGCCGAGGTATATTGTACGACTCATCCTCCGTCTTAATTTGTCATCCTGAAAAAGAGGCCACAAAATCAATATTGATCATACATTTTTTTGGACTGTTATAAAATATGAAAAATCCGAATGAAAGCCGTTTAGGCAAATATATTAAATCTTGAATTTGTAAAAAAAATAACAACTTAAAACTCCTTTATTTCTGTGTAAAGGTTAAAGTCCTTCTTGTTGACAAATTTGTTCGAATAAAACAAATATATTAGCACAAATTTTCAGAAGATTATTCGTTAACTTGCTGGAAACGGAAATGATCTCAGTATAGAATCAGACCAATCTGTAGACACTTCAGTCAGGTTATACTGTGAGCAAATTTTGTATTTTGATACGGCAATCTCCCTTGCAAATTCATAGCTGGACAGGTACAGAAGATAAGAGAAATAGTATTGTGACTGCTTACTAACAGTATTTTGTTTTTGACATCCCTTTAATTAATAATTAAAAGCAAGTCTTTGCATTTATTCAGTTGCGCTTAGGTTTGGATCAATATATAGTGTGTTTTTTTCAACTGTGGCATATTTAATATTTTAAACGAAACGCGTGATCGAATTAACAAAAAAAAACATATGGCGATTTACATTATTATTGTAATAAATTAAATCTTATTTAATAAAAATGAAAGTAAGAAAAACTATAAAATTATTTTCAGTAAATAATCAACAAAGACTGTTATGCCACGTGATTACAAACACAAGTACAAACAACCTCTTGAATAATTGCAATATCAATTCATTTTGTCATTCAAATTGCATCGTATTTTTATTTTCCATTTTTTATTTATCTTAAAACATCTAAACAAGTTTCTTTTGACAATCGTGTCATTCCATGTATTTAATGTTGATATTTTCAGATGGTAAGGTAATTCTCATTACAGTTTTTTTAATGACCTCTGATATGTATATTTAGACACGAAAATGAAGTTTTCTATTCAAATCATACGGTAGAAATACTGAATATCATCGTTACCTGAGTCGTTCAAGTGTACGATATAATTATTTAGTACAGTTATTTAATAGAGTAACCTTTATTAAAGTGACATTATGCCCATCCAAGGGTATATAGTGAGTGAACGGGTGAAGATCTAAATATGTTTTCATTTTGCCATAATTTACGGTGTTCCGTTTGGACACGTTTGGACAATCGTGACATTCTATTTATTCTGTACCCGCAATGCACGATGGTACGATGGTGAAAACGCGATGGCACGATGGTACGATGGTGAAAACACGATGGTGCGATGGTGAAATCACGATGGTACGATGGTGAAATTGCGATGGCGCGATAGTACGATGGTGAAAACGCGATGTTACATCGCTTTTTCACCATCGTACCATCGTGATTTCACCATCGTACCATCGCGTTTTCACCATCGTACCATCGCACCATCGCGCCATCGTGTTTTCACCATCGTGCTATCGCGTTTTTACCATCGTACCATCGCGTTTTCACCATCGTACCATCGCGTTTTCACCATCGTGCCATCGCGATTTCACCATCGTACCATCGCGTTTTCACCATCGTACCATCGTGTTTTCACCATCGTACCATCGCGTTTTCACCATCGTACCATCGCGTTTTCACCATCGTACCATCGTGCATCGCGGGTACAGAATAAATAAAATGTCACGATTGTCCAAACGTGTCCAAACGGAACACCGTACTACGAAGAGGGCCATGATGGCCCTGAGGTCGCTCACCTGTATAAAGGCACGCGGAGCGGGGCCAGTTTAAACCCCAGGGCTTTTATTTGAACAAACTTGGAAGACACCCATTAGAAGATGTTTCACGATGTTAAGTTTTTACTACACACATATAATGAAAAACAACGATCTACCCCTCTCCTTCTGCCCCCCCTCCCCCAATTTTAACCCAATGGCTTTTTATTTGAACAAACTTGGTAGACACCCATAAGAAGATGTTTCATGCTAAACATCTAAGCTCTAGCTCATTGGGTTTTTTTAAAAGAAGATTTTTTAAGTTTTTACTATACACATATAGTTTAAACCGATGACACCCCTGGGGCGGGGCCAATTTTGACCCCAGGGCTTTTATTTGAACAAACTTTGTAGACAATTACTAGAAGATATTTCATCCTTAATATCTAAACTCTAGCTATTTGGGGTTTTTCAAAGAAGATTTTTAGGTTTTTGCTATACAAATATAAGGAAAATCAATAACACCCGGGGCGGGGCCAATTTTGACTCCAGGGCTTTTATTTGAACAAACTTTGTAGACACTCACTAGAAGATTATTCATGCTAAATATCTAAACTCCAGCTATTTGGGTTTTTTTTCAAGAGAATTTTTAAGTTTTTGCTATATACACATATAAGGAAAATCAATGACCCCCGGGGCGGGGCCAATTTTGACCCCAGGGCTTTTATTTGAACAAACTTGGTAGACACCAATTAGAACATGTTTCATGCTAATTATCTTAGCTTTAGCTCTTTGAGTTCTTTAAAAGAAGATTTTTTAAGTTTTTACTATATGCATATTGGGAAAATCAATGACCCCCTGGGGCGGGACCAATATTGACCCCAGGGCTTTTATTTGGTCAAAACTTGGTAGATACTCATTAGAAGATGTTTCATGCCAAATATCTAAGCTCTAGCTCTTTGGGTTCTTTAAAAGAAGATTTTTTAAGTTTTTACTATATGCATATAGGGAAATGGTTATAATCATGTAATATTAGAACCGGAAGGCGATGGTACGATGGTGAAAACGCGATGGTACGATGGTGAAAGTGCGATGGTACGATGGTGAAAACGCGATGGCACGATGGTGAAAACACGATGGCGAGATGGTGCGATGGTACGATGGTGAAAACGCGATGGTACGATGGTGAAATCACGATGGTACGATGGTGAAAACGCGATGTAGCATCGCGTTTTCACCATCGTACTATCGCGCCATCGCGATTTCACCATCGTACCATCGTGATTTCACCATCGTACCATCGTGTTTTCACCATCGTACCATCGTGCCATCGCGTTTTCACCATCGTACCATCGTGCATCGCGGGTACAGAATAAATAAAATGTCACGATTGTCCAAACGTGTCCAAACGGAACACCGTAATAATTCCTTTTGATTTAATAAATAAGTTCGCATAAACAATAAATAACGCACAGATACAAACGAAATTTCTGTAAATATCCATTTGAATTTACCTATAACGCCTTTTTTATAAAAAGAGTGGGGCAGTCTTTTTAAATTTTAGGCAGATTTATAATTTTATCCTAAACATTTTCCAATATCATCTGTTGGTCAAACACCATTTTGACAGTCAATCTTTTGAGATATAAAGTAAATTCAGCTCAACTTGACTATGAAAATATGAGCATAATGTCACTTTAAGACTTTTAGAATATTTTTTTTTCTTAAACTTGCTTAATAAACATACACTAACTGGCATTAATATTCATATGTTTGAGAGAGTTAAAATATTTCCATCAGCTTGTAAGCCAACAATATAACGTGTCATAATTTGAAGTGTGAAATTTCCTTGATATTCAAGTATCTAAATTGAACAAGCATCATTATAGGCTTTGGTCGGACTTCCGTATGCTTGATTTAATCATGTACCTATTTGTACAGTGTAGCTTGCAAAAATAACGTTAACATTAACATGTTCCCCAAAGGTTAAATTTACAATATTTTACAAAGCTGCCCTACAAAAAGTATATTTGGGTTTTGAAGTTTTAAAAATTTTTATTTGGCCCTTGTATTTTTAAAATTTTTTGTAAAAATGTTGGGTTTGTTAAATTTCTTTTCCCTTTTTTTGAAAAATTAACGAAAAAAACCCAAATAACTGGATTTTTGAAACTTTTGGGTTTTTTTTTTTAAATTTACCTTTTAAAACATATAAGGGTTTAAAAGTTACAGTAATATTTTTATTGAAATGAAAAAGCTATTAAAAATTTATTTTATTTAAACAAACAAAAACTTATATCTTTTTAGTTTCTTACGCGTACTTATGACCGGGGATAAAAAAACCCGGGATCAAAAAAGTTGGGGGTTTCTTATTTATTATCAAACATTTTATGATATAAATTAAAAAGGGCCCTTGAAAAAATTTTCGCTCCCTCTATTTACAGCATTTTATACATAACATACAATTATCAATTCAATAATGTTATCGTGATGAAAAGCACACCTTTTTATTTATCGCCCGAAATGGAGACGTAATAACGTACTTATTGTTTAATTAATATGACGCTGTTTTTATTTGGTTTCGTTTAGCATATTCCAATACATTTGAGCCGCGTCATAACAAAACCAACTTAGTGGGTTTGCGACCAGCATGGATCCAGACCAGGCTGCGCATCCGCGCAGTCTGATCAGGATCCATGCTGTTCGCTATCAGTTTCTCTACTTGTTATATCATAAAACAAGTAGAGAAACTGATAGCGAACAGCATGGATCCTGATCAGACTGCGCGGATGCGCAGGCTGGTCTGAATCCATGCTGGTCGCAAACCCGCTATTTTTGGGTTTTTTTCATGAGAAAAAATATTTTTTTTTAACCCTTTTTTACATTTTTGCTTCTTTTTAAACTTAAAGTTTTTTAAAATTGCTACATATTGTGCCGCAGCAGATGTCTACAAAAGTCGTTTACAATGCTCGTATTAATGTGATTAAAGAAATCCTATAAGATAATCTGTAACAGCTGAGTCCTTGTGAACATATGTGTATTGATTAGTATGGTATCTCGGACATTCTCAGAGTGTACTTAATTTGTTTAAACTAACTATTATCAACTAGATTTTTGTATCAATTATTTCCATTCGTACAATTGTTTCGGTTCTGTCTTTTTTATTGAGTTTGAGTTATTGAGACGTAGAAAATGTAATGGCCATATAGCGACTTTCCAGCTTTACTAATTAAGTAAGACATCAGGTGCCCTCCGTGCATTATTTCAGGCATGAGCTGCCACCATGTAGAGCCACTGACGATCCTAACATGGCTGGTTAGCTTCATCACACGAACGAAGCCAAAATCCCCGGCGGAGTGGCAAGTGGTT